GAGGGAACGTAAAAGTATTGCGAGGTAAGGCAAAAGTATTGTGAGGGAACGCAAAAGGGAAAAAAAATCCCCCATGTCCCCTCACGGGCTCCGTAACTTTTAGTGCTGGTAAGTAATCATATAATTTAATGATTAAAACAAGGTGTAGCAGTGTAAAGTTTTATGAAACTGTTTTCATACACTGCAATGGAACTTTTAAAATCAGAGCTTTTTTTCACACTTAAGAAGTCCACTTTGGTCTTGACTGCATTCAAATTACCGTAGTTGTTGACTTGTCAGTTATGTCAGAGATAAAGGGATAGTTATTGATGTTCTCTGTCTCAAAATTTCAGCATCTGAAATCCAATTTTTGTGTGAGAAAAAAACTGCCAGGTCTACATCAAAACATCTCCTCCACACACACTCCAAAAAAAAAGGTAAATAAAGTGACCCACAATCACAACCACTGTCTTACGCATTGGATGATATAGATTATAGATAATTTATGCACAGAAGGTAATGTATCATTTTAGAAAATGTTTATTTTTTTCTTCTTTTATAGATCTGGCAACCCTGCTTCATTCGCCCATTGGACTGATCAGTTTAGCTGGCAGTCTTATCTATGTTAACAGAAGGGAGTGGAGGGAGTATATTTTACAGCCCATTTTTCCCTAGAATGATGGAAGAAACTAACTCATTCAATGAAGGCAACAAGTACTGTCCAATCAGAGCCCAAGTGTGGCRTTTCATCCACATCTTTGCCATCACRAAGACAAACGTAAGCCTAAATAAGCAACTACATTTTTTAAAGAAATCCCCCAAAAAACACACCCCACAACTTTAAATATTTCCAAGCAAATTCATAGAAAACTATGCCAATGCCACATTTAATGAGCAGACTTGGTATTTGTGTCTAAAGCTTACTCAATGTAATATCAATCTTTGGTTATGAAAACAGTGACAATGTAAAAACAAAAAAAAAAATCATGCAAAAGAGTAGAGGTTTAATGTTAACTAAGATAGTATTTGTTTCATACTGCCATGGCTATTGGCTTAAGTAGCATATTTTAGTATTTCCGTAACATTTTTGAGAAAGAGTTATTGTATTTGTCTGAAAAACATAATAAAGAGCCCCAGTTTGGTTAACCATTAGCATAGCCTGGAGGAACTAAGGCCTATTCATGTCACAACTGATAAGGTACTAACTACTAATAACTCTTTCGCAGAAAATCACATGGAAAAACACCTGACTACCTCTTTAATTACCCGGAWGCAGCAATAAAATGCTGCTGTGACATACAGGAGTGTCCATTCCATTTGAGACGGATTTGAGGCTGAACACCAAGTCTGCAATGTCTCCAATAGAAAACCTAACCCTCACATGTGACAAAGAAGGCGCCTTTTCGGAGGGAGACACAATTACAGGTATGGTGTCCTTTAATCTGACAAAAGACACCAAAGTTAAGAGTGTTTTTGTGCAAACTAGTGGGGACGCTCACGTTCACTGGACGGAAGGAAGCGGAGATGATGAGAAGTCGTACAGCGCACACAGGAGGTACTTTAAAGAGAAGGTGTTCCTGGTGGCAGAAAGTGCAAATGGTGAGGTTTATGTCCCGTTGTCTTATTCAGACAGCAAAAGATTTAAAGCAAACATGTTACATGTGTATTGTTTAAAGAATACCTTATAATAATGCCATATACACAATACACTTTCACTTTATCTTCACTTTCTTTATTTTTTAATATGCAGGCAATGTACTTCCCAAAGGCATCCATCAGTTTAAGTTCAGTCTTACAATCCCATCGGGGTGAGTGAGATATTTTAGCTGTCAGCATTTGAAAATTGTTCCTGTTTCCTCTTATGAAACAGTCCATTCTTAACCCAATATTTTTTGTTTGTTTTTAAAGGAGCATGCCATCTTCCTTTAAGGGATTTTATGGACGTATTGTCTACATTCTTGTAGCAAAAATTTCAAGAAAATGGCGATGGCCATCCACAGTGATGAAAGAGCTTAACTTTCTCTCAAAGTCCATTCAAAACAGTCGAGCATTTGTTAGTGACCACTATATTATAATGCACTTTTCATGTAATGATGTTTTTAAGATGTTTGTTTAAAAACTATAATAGAAGCTTGTTTATTTTCTGTTTTACAGAGTTCTCAGTCTGGATCGGTTAATAAAAAGGTGGGGGTTTTCTCGAAAGGAGATGTCCATTTGTCTGCTTCTGTTAACAGAGATGTTTGTTCTCCAGGTAAGATGACAGGAGCAGACTAACACGTCCTAATCAGTGTTGTATAAAGT